CCCCCCCACCCCCCCCCCCCCACCCCCCAATGTTCTAAGTTAGTTTTAAAAAGTCAAACAGCTGTCACACTTCCGTAAAAATTTAAGCGATTGTCGCCTTTCAAATATTTTTTAAGTACTTTGATTACTCTTTTCTTTCAACCAAATACTCGATTGGAGATCACTTCAATTTAACGTCAAGTGTTTATCTGCCTTGGCATTCTGAATATGGTCATCTTGAAATAAACCTCCCCAAATTTTCAACATTTCATTAGGATATCATGGTTTAGAGAAGGGATTAATCACTGACCATATTTGGTAATTGACTAAGTGGAGTCCAGCGTCCGCGCACTGAAGAAACTGGACTTCTGTGAATAGTTGGCAGTATCTGACTAAAATAAATATGGAAAAAAACGCTAATAAATAAGAAAATTCGAGAAGGACAAGGGGCCATTCATGTACTCATCGGTCCAATTATGGATGAAATACATCAGTTGCTGTTCCAGTTTGTCTGGACATTGAGATTGAAATAAGACTATTTTCACATTGAACTGTTTGCAGTAACTTGTGAGTGGCAAGCACAACAACTTCTGCCGAAGCTTCAATGGGAATTGGTGTGAATCAATCATCGGCATTTGGGAAAACATTTTTTTCCAAAGCTCAAAAATTCATACCAGATGTAAATTGTAGATGTTCACTACTAATATCCCTCTTTTCCTGAATTATCACACATCTGAGAATCTTCGAATCTGATCCTGAACTAATAGTTTAATCTGACCTAGGTTTTATTTGCTCCTATTTTCAATTAAGCTCAACTAAATTGCTAATAATCTGGCTTTAGAAAGAAAATTGAAAGTTATTGACTAGTGGTGGAGTCGACTGGACATTTCGGTGTCAACCAGCTCACTCACCTTTTCCTTCTTCACTATGAATGCAGCAAAATGTAAGTTGGTAATGGGAATGACTATGATGGACGAACTTAACTGGGGTAAAATCATTTAAAGCGTATCTTTAATGCCACTGTCATTCACTTTGAGCACATTTTGAGAGTGATATGCACTCATCAGCATCGAATTGAAAGTCGGTATATCTGCATGTGTTTGAGCTTTGCTGCAGTCCATCAGATAAATAGAAATCTCACTGTGTGTGTGCTACGGTTTTGCAATTGTTTGTGTTTGTGCTTGTCTGCATGACCTGCAGTTTGACACCTTTCATCATGAAAAGATTTGGTGAGTACTGACCTTGACAAATCCAAGTGCAAGTATGACAACTAATAGCTCTAACGTGAGAGCGAGAGAATTGACTGTACTCTGATGACAGAGTTAGTGGATTAGAGTTGAAGGGGGGGGGGGTTGTGTGGTTCAAAGTTTCAACAAACGCCAAAGAGGGAGGAGCATCACAAGGCAGAGTGAAATGGGAGTACAAGTTTTGATCGCCAGAAACGATAACAGACTGCCCGCTCTCCCTTTCTCCCCACATCTTCCTCAAATGCATACATCTCCCCTCTTCCATTCTAAATGAAGTGGGAGGAGGTGGGGGGGGGGGAGGGGGCTAGAAGCGACAAAACTCCGCTGCCAGAGTGGATTTATTGCAGCTTTCCTTCAAGCAAACAAGGATAAATCAAACCGACTGCAACGCCTGTCAAAATTACATCTGGAGCCTCTGCTTTATTGATGGATGCTTCGGTGGGAAATAAAATAGGGGAACCAGAATGGATTGATCTTACTTTTCCATCGATGATGATTTATCGCTTCTAAAAAGTGGCACATCATTGCCTCTATTAACTGTGAACTAGAATTCTCTTCCTGAAATTTTAATAAGACATCTTTACTCCTTCCCCCACCCCCCCCCCCACCCCCACCCCACCCACATCCTCTAAACTTTTTGCCCAAATTCCATTCATAGGCATGTGACTGAAGAACAGATGGGCTGAGAAAGTAGTTTCCAATGCAATAGTTCATCTTAATAGCATGAAATTATTCTTCTTGCTGGGAATGGCTTTTAGATAAAAGTAATTACTAATTCATGGTTTTTATGTTGTGGATGAATTAAAAATGAGATTCTCTTTTAGGTTACCTCATCTTAGAAAATGCTGGTTTTTTTGTATTCTCTGATTAGTCTAATGCGAATTTTGTCACGAGCTTGCCTTAAAACTTGTGCGAGTTGTGTTCAATTGGAAATTTTCTCAATAAGAAGGCATGTCAGTAATCGATTTTGGAAAGAAATCGATTTATTTGACTCTCCTGTCAATTCGGCGAATGCAGATTCCCTTCTCACTTGTATTTCTTACTACAAGTATCCATCTTTAATTGGAATTTCGAGCAGATATTCAATTAAGCAACTTTAATAGTTGTTTTTGCCAATTGTTTCGTACGAACTAGTCTCAGCGACTAATTGACTTTATAAAAAAATGTTTAGCTATCTCTCTGCCCTGCCATTTTAAGATTTTATAAGCTTGTTGGCATCACAAAGGCCCATTGCAAACTTTCAGTTATGGGAGGATACATTAGCATATTGGGACGAGATTGACCATTTTCAACTTGAATATTTATTCTACAAATTATTAAATTAGTATGTATTTCTCGTTTAAATTGTTCCCTTTATATTTTATTTTAAGAATGGTTTCAATAAGGGTGAAATTTCATTCTCATCCTGTTAAAACCACTCTTTATAAACCATTTGAAATTTATCTAATATGAACTGGGCAAGTAGAACGATTAAGTATAGTGAATTTTAGATCTATAATATTAATCGATTAATGGATTGATTTTAAACGTAAGAATTTCTATACGAACCGTCAGCATTACCCCCCTATCACCGATGTCTCGCCATGATGATATGCATCTATTGGAATTCCTACTAACAGGCGTCTTATCCTTTTAATCTGTCAGATGCATTTCTCCCATAGCAATTTTCCGTTTCATAAAAGAATTTAAGGAAGCATAGAACAAAACCATATGGGCTTCTTTTATGAACACATTTGAGACTAATTTTTATATGGGATAAAGGCAATACTTCCCATCAAATACCAATAGACACGAATCGAGAACTTGGGAATTTAATGCAGATTTTGCGATTCTCTTCTTCTTTCCTAAAGTATTTATTTATTCATATCAAATGGCAGGCGTCTTGAAGGATATCATTAGCCCTTTAGTTGACTTCAGACTTCACAGAGGGGAAGGAACATCAAATTGAAAAAAGTCGAGAGGGGGAGAACAGAAGAGTATTTCAAAGATGTAAGAGACAAACGCAAAGGTAGAAAAAAAAGATGAGGTGAGTACTGTGAAGTAGTCGAATATGGTATAGAGAGAGGTGATGGCAGTTTGAATTGAGAAGTCAACTGCCAGTTAATAGACTTTTTTGCCGTATGAATATACGTTGCCCAGGATGCACCACGTGGAGGTAAGTCCTATCGCACACCCCTTATTTCCTAAAGTACTAAGAGCTGAATGCCAAGTTGAGGAAATCGAGGAACCAAACATGGGGAAATCGAACTTGCTGCTCCTGTTTCTCTTTCATAAAGTCTTGCTCATACGTTGGATCTCCGCCTTGATTAGCCCGCCCATGGGCAATGAAGTCGCTTTCATTGCTGGCCTGTAAATCAATAATGCCGATCACCGTCAAGGCTGAATTCAGTTTAAATTGCCCTCTTATTTCAGTTAATTTATGCAAATTGAAGTTAAAAGTTCACTCCTTCTGATTGTGCTCTTTTTGAAATTTTTGTTTGCCTTTTAATACCGGACCACCGCATTCCTATTGGCAACTGAACAACCAACTTAACTACCCAACAATTCAAAACTCTATCATTCATCAATAAAATAGGTTCCAAATACTCAGCTTAAAAAAAGAAACAATTTAATTATTTTTACAAAAGGATTTTTCATAATTGAAATATTAATTTTCACTTTTTATTGTGACAAGTTCATGCCGGACAGTCGAGTATCGAAAGCATTTATTCCAAGTGCGTCATAAAGTTGTCTTGCATTTTTTGAGCGAAAATCCAACAAGTTGCCTTAAACATGTCAAATAAAGTTCTATCATTTTATTGCTTTAAATTGATTGAAAATTGCTTTAGCCACGATGGAAATATTATAAAATAATTTGTAGATTTTTTAGGAGTTTTTTTCATTTCCCGCTCCTCTCCCCCGATTTTATTAATTTTCATTTCAATGCAATATATAGTTTAAGTGCTATTGTGAGCATTTGATTGTGCTATTATTTAATTAAATAGATACCCTGTTTGAGGTCCACAAGGTTCGTCTAACACGATCTCATCCCTCATGCCCCTGGGGAGTGGTGATCTCCGGTACAGATGACGTCGTCGACGCTCCAATCTACATCGATTCCTTGACCCCTGGCAAGCCAGCAGCCATCTCTGGTCTCTTGCGAAGAGGAGACCGTATTCTCGCTGTGAATGGACTGGTTGGGGCGGCTCCGAAATTGGCTGGTGGTGCGGGTTTGACTCTCTCTCTCGTCACTGCCCGACTACAGCAGCCCCTCGAATCGGTTACTCTCTACATCGCACGAGAAAAGAGCCGATCTGACTTCCCCTTGCCTTCCACCACAGCGTCAACTTCTGCTTTGTCTCAGGGAAATAGCAATGCGATTGCCAAGCAATATTCGTGGGGCACGGTGAGTTCACCCCCCAACCCCCCCCCCCCCCCCACCATTTCTGAGTGCATTAAAGCAAATCTTGCTTGAAGGGCAAAAATGTGAATATTACATGCGCTCTATAGAAACGAATTAAGGCCTGAGTAGGTCTGGTTGCTGAAAGTGTTTGTTGATTTAGCTGTATTCAGTCTCGTTATGTAGGGGTGCCATGTCGATAAAGCTGACGATAGTTCCAAGGAGTGAAATCTTCCATTTGTCTGTATCGACATAATTCTGTATACACGCGCCAATATTAACTTGTACGCCATTAGAAAGCACCAATTGCAAAAGGCCTACTTTGTTCGCTTTAATGAGTCACACTTCAACTTTGATGAGGTGATTAACAGGCAGAAACGCGTGTGTTCGTAACATATTTGTTCTGCACAGATGGTACAGGTCTTTCCAAATTGGAAGTTTGCATCTTCAGATCTAGTGAAAATTATAATTTAAATTAGTCGGGATTCGAGTTGTTAGGTGTGCGCCTTATAATAAACGTTTTAGCTGGCTTTTAAAATTCTTATCTAAGCTGAATACTTCATTATAGTCTGGTTCACCTGCAACTGACTTCAACCAGTCTTTCGATGAGGAACGCGTTCGACCACCTCTTCGAACAGCTCCTTCAACATCTTCTGCAGCGGCTTCCAGCACTCGACTGAAGAAGCAGAATTCACTCTCCAAGACTCCGCCTTACCCTCGTCAGTTCACAGGCGTCATTGGCTTCCTTAATAGTGCAGGTAGGAAGGGAGAGATTCGATTATTTGCTGCAACGAAAAGTGCATTAGTCGTATTTGTGGATTCTAACATTTCAGATAATTACGATGCAACTTCTTATCCAAATGTCAATCGTCCAACAGATTTACCACGGCAAACTATAGATGCCTACTTATCGAAAGGTGAGGAGAGGCTTTCGCGTCATCAGCATCACCACCATCGGCATAAAAGCCACAGCAAACGATGGAAAACATCTGGAAGTAATAGACTTAATCATCGTCATGGAAAGCAGGAAGAACAAAACAAGGACCTTCAGAGGGAGGGCAAAATTCCACGAGCTTCCTCAACGCTAAATCTGGATGATATTGCTTGTCCAGGTTGTCGCGAAGCTGTTGTGAACGAGGTTCTTAATCAACAAAGGTATGTTGATTTCTTTCTTACATTCTCACTTTGTGCAAAAAATAAAAAGAAATTCCCCCCCCCCTTCCTCTCCTTCTAAATGAGATTTAGCCGGAAGTGGGCGAGGGAAAGTCTTCGGGACAAATTAAATTTGGGAAAACCTATTCCCAGTCCAATTGACTAACTTTGAGCGGATTGGCTATGAAATGTGGAGAGAAGGGTGTTTGCGAGGGAGGGGTGGGGGAGCTGAGGGGGGCGGGGCGGTACAGGGTTGGGGGGGGGGGCATATCTAAAAGGATGAAGTAGAGGGCAAAAGAGAAATTGCTCTTTTTCATCCAAAATTCCTTTAAACGAAATTACATTACCGATTTTTAAATTGTTCACTATTTTCGAGATATTCAAATTTTAGTGACTTTTTCAAAAAGCTAAATAAATCTGCAAACGACTATTTCATTTTGAAAGAGCAGTTGGTTTGTCAATTACAACATCTGAATTGCCATGCTTCGTTCACCTTTGAGACTAAAGCCATGAAACTCCATCGACAGGTTTCACGGTTATTGTGACCTCCAAAAAAGGAAACTTGGAATTTGCCGTAATTTACCGATTCATTCGTTGAGTAATCATGTTCAAAAACTTTTCATCTAAAAATCTAGCACAAGAAAGGCCATTTTTCAACCGATCAGTTTCTCTTTTTTATTAGCTCCGCACTACTAGACCACAGGAAGAATGTGGAAGTGAACTTGAACTTGGCGTAGCTTCGCCCGGATAGTTACCGAGATGAAATCCATCGCAACTTCAAGCACTTCGAGTAGTAGTATCTGCGGTTGGGAAATGTATCTAGCTGTTTCAGTAAAACATACTTCCTCTTCCACCAAGGTTTGGGTCACTTTTGGGGGAGGGGCCTCCTATTGGAAGAAACTATTTCCCTTCCTTTTGGGCAAATTTTAGTCGCCCTCTCTCGTTGGAAGGTTTGAGAAGGGAAAAGATTTCTTGCAAACCGCCGGCTGTCAACGGGGGTACTTATTCCTTGCATGGCTGGATAACTTCAAATGAATGGGCATGTGTAAAAGGTGCTCCTGATTAGATGCGGTTCACATTTAATCATGAAATTTTGGTATAATTCAGAAAGTAAGATTCATTGTAACGATTGAGTGGACCTAAAATGCGAAGATGGTGTTGAATTTCTGCCAAAATATTTCAGATAGGATTCGAATGCCAACTCTTGACTTGTTCTGCAGGTGTAATTAAAAGTTACCTAGACAAAGAACTCTCTCTCTCTGAGGTTACAAATGAGTGCCTGAATATTCAGAACTCGAAGAAGCACACCAACTTGATTTAAATGGCTCAAGGGGAATCTTTCATAAACAACGGATCAATTAATTCTCCTAAACATTTTGGTGAATGACATTATTGAAGAATAGTGGTTCGACACGCAAAATTTACTCTAGTGATGTGGTGGTGGTGGTGCTATCGGTCACAACGAATCAAGTTGCCATTCAAGAAATGCCATTTCATTCAATTAAAATTGGAACAAACATCAAGAATGAGAGTGATGAGCGATCTTGAAGAGATTCTTGTGAAACAAGCTCTGTAAAAAACATCAAGAACAAAATAAGGTAAAGCATTAATCAATATTAAAGGGATCGATGATCGAAAATACACCAATCTCTCAATGGCTTCAGAGTTACTTCCAACTGGCTGCAACATCCGGCCCCATCCTTCCCCACCCAAGGCTTAATACAGCAGAAGATTTGGAGTTCACGTTTAGGGCCGAAAAACTCCAACGATTCACAACTTCCAAAGGAGAAACTAAATCCCGTTAGCATAGTGGTATGTATGAGTTGTAGGTGGTCTTCAGTTCATCTATTTGAAGTGATCCAATTTAGCAAGGCGTTTCCCAAAGCTCAACTTGTTGAGAGAGTGGCGTCTTTTAGACTTCTTTGAGATAGACTCGAATGCAGCTACAGCCTTCATTAGCCATGGTGATCCAATGCAGCTCATCATTGGGCCTACTGGTTGCTTTGGAAGAACTCGAACTCATAGCACTTGACGTGACAGACATGCGTGTTCAATAATGCACAAAGAGCGAAAGAAAACCTCAATTATTCCAATTTTCCACCTAAATTTTGCGACTATGGCAATACACATTACCACTTCCATGCGATTATTACAAATAATAACTGGTGAATGCGTCCGGGGTCAAGCTTATGTATTGTTAACCTCGTGACCTCGAGAAATATTAGGTTGGCCTTGTACTCCCTGAAGTCTGCAGTAATAGTCGAACCTCTTGGCGCCCAAAAGAGCACAGATGGAGTTGCCAAAGTGAAGGAAATGACAATCTACTTTTTGACGAATGTTACGAAAAAAAAATGTAAAATAAAACGGCAGCATTGCGAAGCATCGTGTCGCGAAAAATTGTAAATCCGTGTGCTTTAAATCGAAGTGGCGGAAGTGGAAGAAATGGAGATTCTCGAGTTCAAAGGAGTTGTCCCCCCCTCCCCCTCGCATTGACACCGATCCCTTCCCCCCCCCCCCTTTCTGTTCCTGCACGTTTGAAAGTTTTTCTTCCGCCTATCGAAAGTTGTGAGATTACATCGCCTTGCAATAGAAAATGAGTGGAGAAAATTTCAGTCTTTGGTGGGTTAATTCAATGTTGTGCGCTGTTTTTTGCAGATCGTATCCCATCTTGCCAGTCGTTATAACTCAGACTGCTGTTACCCTCCGCCTCCCCCACCCCCTCTCTCCCACCCCAAATTATCAAATCTCTCATCTCCAGTGTTATATGAATCTCAAAATGCAAACCCGAACTCTTTATGCACGTTTACTGGAGGGGGGAGGGGTAGTTGGGTGCGTTTCTACCTGGTTTTTCTCTGAGTTATCAAGTCCCCTTCTCGTGCGGGGTGCAGTGAGCGGGGTCACAAGTAACTCTGCACTGAATAGAACTCAGAAGGCACCGAGATTCGATTCAGTGCCTATTTGGAGTAATGGAACGCCTGATGGCTGGAGGAAATAACAGTGCAGCTTCCACGCTGAATAATCTCGAGGTACGTGATACTGCAACTTGGAGACCCCTTAATTTCAGGAGCGAAGTTGTCTGCGAATTTGTCATTTTGTGTGTCATGCCAATCCCCAGGTCAAATGCATCCATATATTGTAACCCCCATTCAATCATTTTCGCCAACCACCAATTGCAAGCAAAGCGCTACTTTATGTAAATTTATAACGCTGTAACTTTCCAGTTCCATTATGTCTCCAATCTCTTCTGAGTTGAAGGTTTGAACGGTATTGCAAATACAAGTATGGAACAATAAGAAGTATATATTTTCAGACCTTTTGCTATTATATTCCAAACTAATTTCCCACAATTATCAGTTAGTTTGCGCACGATGCTTCATGTGGCGGCCATGAATAGTTAAAGGGAACTGTTGCCCCGCTAGATAATTTAAACATGAACTGTTTGTAGAGCACTTGGCCAGCTGGTTTTAACGCAGATAATGAAGCAGATGAAACTATAAGCTATTGAGGGGGATTTAGGCTGTAGGAGCGAATGAGAGTGTAAATTACCCTAAATCCCTTCCTCATAAATTGCCTCCCTCTCAACAACTTCCCCCACCAACCCCACCCCACACTTTCGGTGGATAAGCCTGCAATTCAGCAAGTCTCCGACTTCCGAAAAATTCTTTCAATCTCACCTCTTTCACTCACGCGTGCCCACTGCGTTGCTACAAGATTGCTTCGCTAGCATGACAGCAGCCGAGCAAAGGCGGCATCGTTATAACCGTCTCAAGTCGTCCTCAGCGTCGTCACAATTTGGGTCAATGGGCTTTCAATGGGAAATTTTATGCTGCCAACTTTCTCTTCTTCCATCTCCAAATTTCCAATCAAAACCTTCGTCCCTACCATCATAGAATAAGAAAGAGTTTTGAATGATTGCTCCAAAGTTAACTGCTTTTAATTAAAAATGTTTATATTTTTGTGTTCAAATTGCAGTTGCTCTCTTTGTTTGCTATGCAGATATTGGGCCAATTAGGTCCGTTTCAAAAATAAGTGCTGAATTTTGAATTTTCAAATGATAAAATCGACTTTGGAATTAAAAGTTGCAAAAAAAGAGCTAGTGATCATAAAGTCGTAAAGTACACAAAATGTTTTGCCTTTAAGAATTCTCAACGAGCAAAGGTCTGACCGGAGTCAGGTGCGACGACGTCGCGGTCATTTGAGAAGTCGAGGGCGCAGTCTAGAAATGGTGGACACTCAAGGTGGGAGCCCGGAGACGAGGACTTTTCAATCTTCCTCACATCGCAGCCATCAGCATCAACACCAGCATCATCCGCCTACAATTCCCACTCCCCTCGAAATAAGAAGCCACGGGAGCGGGAAAGAGGGGTATCAGACTCTCTCCCGATCAGACTCCCGCCTCAACCGAGAACATCTGGATGCTGGAAATGATGATGATGAGGCATCTGTATCTCCATCTGTCACGGGAACTAGAAGATGTGCTCCAATTTGTGATATCTTCTCATCACGTTCCTCCTACACCTCATCTTCTGTCTCTGGATCCTTCAGCAAATCCGACAGTTCTAGGAGTTCGTCTCTCTCAAGTACGGATCTACTGGAGGCTGCAAAGACTTCTGTTCCAGCTCATCGAACATTCTCTGTGACTCCACTTCCCAGGTATTGCATTACTTATGCCTTCTTTCGCATCAGATGCACTTATGCCTGTTTAGTACTTCAACCAGTACGCAATACACCATTCAAAGGTATTTTAAAACAGAGTGAGGAGATTTGGTGCATGTGGTTCAAGATACTTGCTTACCCGAAAGATGGCTTTTTAGCAGAGGCTCCTTTCGACTAGGCTGTCAGCACTGAGGATGGCATTCAGATGCATTGTCATCTGCCAGTCTTTCTCCTTTATTCAAAGGTACTAAAGGGTTTCGGGGCAATCAGTGCAGATGAGAAACAGCGATTCTATCGAGAGTGCAAAACATCGTTTTTTTTGTCTTTCTATAAGCTCTTACAATTTGCATGAGCTTTGCTCTAAATCATTTTCCCTCGAATAACCTTGGAGTGAGAAATTACGCTATCGGTGACAAGACCTTGTGTGAGATTTATTTCTAGTTATTCTTGATGCATCTAACAGCTCGAAAGAAGCTCTGGAATAAAAGCACAGGAAGGACCTTCCATAGCATCTCGAAGGTGGACTTTTTTCGCTGAAATTAAGCCAGCCCTTCGCGAGGCATCTTGTTGGGAGAGGAATCATTCCGCTCGTAGTAATACGCAGAGAGCATTGCACATATGACAGCAAAGTAACAATAGAATTTTATTCCACGGCTTTGTTGTATTTTTGCCTGTTGCAAAATTTTGACTGCTATTTTGAGATTAACTTGTGGTTGCATCTTAATTCCTATTAAGTTGCATTTATTCTATTTGATTTTATGAATATAAAAAAAAGTCTTACCGCTTGAACAGAAAAATTGTCAGACGCTTTTTTTCTTATTAGCCAATACAAATTGTTCGAATTAAACCAGAATTTAACCATTTTCATGGTTTTATTTATTGCTCGATATTTCATTCATGTTCGATCCAATTGAATACATTACTTGGTGTTCTCGAATTTTTTACATAACTTTAGAAAGAGATATAGATTGCATAGTATTTAATTTTGCGTACATCAATTGCCTTGGTTGCAAATAAATTCTGGAGTAAATTTTTTTCAAATTTTGCTTTTTGGAGGGACAAGAGTCTGACAAGATTTGGATGGTCCTTTTTATTTTGGATGTCATCGAAGGGAGTGCCTTAACACCTTACGATACCCACCTTAGTGATGGTGTCCTTTCGCGTCAAATCGCACTATTTTTTTGACAATTCCCCCTGGAAACAGCTTTTGACATTTCCTGCCAACACTCTTGATAGCATCTTTACTGCAGCTTTTATTAATAAATCCAATGCCCGAAAAAGCGAAAGTACCATTGACGACTTTTTGTCTGCCTCCATACACACGAAGCTACAAACTCAAAAATCAAGAGGTGGAAGTGACCTTGAAATTTTCATGTCGATATCGTAAATGTTTTCCTCAATTCATCGCCTAGAAACCGTGGATCTTAGAATGATAAATTTTTGGCTTAAAGAATTTGTAAATGGTAAGACTATAATAATCTGTTCTTTATGAGGAGATCATTCATGTTTTTCGACGTGCTGAAGGTGATGGAAGTAAATTGAACAAAGGCGACTGAACCAATTTGTTTTCAAAGGATGTTCTCTATTCCCGATTTAATTTCATGGAGTTATGGCAAGTGAGCTTCCAAACATGTCGTAAATGAAATGTAAGACTGCTACTGCCCTTCCAAATTACCCTTCATTTAGCCACATTCAAGGTTGAATATTAAATTATTTTATCTATTTTACTGAAATCCACATGATTTGACTCAAGTTTGAGTAAAAAAATTTTTCAAATAGCAGTCTTTATGATATTTATCATTAGCTCTTAAACTTTGACTTCAGCTTCCCCCAAGGGTGGGGGCAGATTTATAGCAGTTAATTAATAGCAGTTCATTAGCTGTCTTTGTAGCAGTTAATTAATAGCAATTCATTAGCTGTCTTCTTGCGGCAGTTAATTAATAGCAGTTCATTAGCAGTCTTCTTGCTTAACAGTATCTCTGGCTTTCCGTCCTTGTCTTTAGAGCTGGATTACATTTATAGCGGTTAATTAATAGCAGTTCATTAGCAGTCTTCTTGCTTCCCCGTATCTGGCTTAATTACATTTATAGCAGTTCATTAATAGCAATTCATTAGCTGTCTTCTTGCTTCTTACATTTATAGCGGTTAATTAATAGCAGTTCATTAGCAGTCTTCTTGCTTCCCCGTACTCTGCTTTCAGCTCATTAGCTGTCTTCTTGCTTCCCAGTATCTCTGGCTTTCTTGCTTGTCTTTAGAGCTGGACACCGAATCAGGTGGGTCTTCCTTGTCTTTAGGGCTGGACACCGAATCAGGTGGGTCTTCCTGTCTTTAGGGCTGGACACCGAATCAGGTGGGTCTTCTGTGTCTTTAGGGCTGGACACCGAATCAGGTGGGTCTTCTCAAATGTAGGTTACATAGAGGGCATGTGGGTTGAGTGTATACCGAGTAAGGTGCGTCTTCTCCATTTCCTCCTGCAGGTTACATAGGGGGCATGATACCATTTCCTCCTGTAGGTTACATAGAGGGCATGTGGGTTTCCTTGTCTTTAGGGCTGGACACCGAATCAGGTGGGTCTTCTCCTTGTCTTTAGGGCTGGACACCGAATCAGGTGGGTCTTCCTGTCTTTAGGGCTGGACACCGAATCAGGTGGGTCTTCTGTGTCTTTAGGGCTGGACACCGAATCAGGTGGGTCTTCTCAAATGTAGGTTACATAGAGGGCATGTGGGTTGAGTGTATACGTTTGGTTATATAGGGGGCATGTGGTTGAGTGTATACTACCAATCTGTGAAGATGTTTTTCCAGGCGATCGTGTCCGTTACTAGTCTAAACTCAGCAATGGCATCGATTCTTAGCCAGTCGGCTATGTCCGAGAGTGCCACTGTCCACTGTTTCTCCTTTGTTCGAGCTTTAAGTTCGTTACACCTTGAGATCTGGAATTCTCTCCTGATTAATGCCTTAATTGTGGGGGAGGACATCGGCCGGTCTATGCCTTGCAAAATCGTTGTCCCCTTTGAGTAAAAAATTATAGTTAGCCTATTGTCCATATCCACATCGGCCAGAAGAACTTGCACCCCTTTTCACAGAATGAAATAGGCGCCATTTTCAGGTTCATTGGTGTAGGAGACAAGGCTGATACCGAGGGTTTAGCAATTAACTGCTAGTGGAAAATTGAGGGGATGAGAGAGGAGGAGGAGGAGGAGGAGGAGGAAGGAGAGTAGAACGAGTTCAAGGAACAAATTTCTGCACCTTCAGCCTTTTAATCATCATATCCAGTCGTTTTCAATTGTGTTGACTAAACATAATTCTAGTAAACTTGAAGCTTACACAATTTTTGCATTAAATCAAGGCTAAACCATCCAATTTGGGCATTTTTTCGGGATCTTTCAATTATTCGTATTTAATGAATAATGCTCTAAGTTATTGTCATTCCGTTTGAGCAGTTGTGCAAATGTCTGCTTAAAATCCTTTGAGAGGGAATGAAGTTATCAGAGGGCGGTCTTACAAGCGGACACTGCCATTCATGTTATGTTAATTTTCAACTGTTCTGAGGGTAACAAACGCCGATAGCATTAAGACTCCTCTGATGAATCTAATTAATATGCGCTTTGGCATAAAATAAGTAATTACCGATCAAGTCTAGTCTGTATTCGGAGGTGCGCAAAGTTGTTTCGAAAGAATTGATTGGCTGCCTGAGGAGTTGAGATTTCATTCCCCTCCTGGGGTGGGGGAGGGGTGTAGCGGATTGCTACTTTATTCAAGCCTGACTGACTCAGAAATCT